TACACCGAACAAAATTGTGCACAAACGAAGCGAGAAAGGAAATCTTTGACCTTTTTGATAGGTTGTGGCTTTTTAGCACTTTTTACTTCAGGTGAGAGTTTCTCACTCTTGCACTACAAAGGATAGTGCCAAATGAGGCCTTAAAAAAAATCACAGTTATAAAATCTTAGACAGTGTTAATTAAGCAGAGAAGGGATTGCCAAAATATTAGTTTAAATTATTTAAAATCCACCTACTCTCCACCTACTTCACCCACTTAAACCTACCCCCCTACTCCACTAAACCTAACCCACTACACCACTACCACCTCCACTTCACCTACTCCTTACCTACTACACACTCACCCTCTTCTATATATATAGGAATCATGAATCATTGTAATAGATATCAACTACAACATTATATCAATCTATAATACAATCATTTTTCTTTATACATTAAATTTCTACATGGTATCAGAGCAAGGTTAAGCTCTTGGTGCTCTTCGCCTTCTGGCGGGCGGCAACTTTGCCTTAACCGCCCGCCAGACCTCAACCAATTAAAACCTACCAAAACCTCCAACCACTGCTAGCTCGAATTGACGCCAACTCTTCTCGCCAAGATGAAGCTTACTGTAAAGACTCTCAAAGGCAGCCACTTCGAAATTAGGGTTCAACCCACTGACACCATCATGGCGGTTAAGAAAAATATTGAAGATGTGCAAGGAAAAGACAATTATCCATGTGGACAGCAATTATTGATTCACAATGGAAAGGTTTTGAAAGATGAAAGTACTCTGGCAGAGAACAAGGTCTCTGAAGATGGTTTTCTTGTTGTCATGCTTAGCAAGAGTAAAACTTTGGGCTCAAGTGGGACCTCATCCACCCAGCCTGGATCTACAACTCAACCAATTTCTAATCCTACTTCTGCACCTGAAGCTCCTGTACAAGCACCGGCCCCAGAAATCACCTCGTCTGGTTCCAATGTGGCAACAGCTAATGCTCCTTCTGATACGTATGGTCAGGCTGCTTCCATTTTGGTTGCTGGTTCTAACCTTGAGCAGACCATTCAACAAATAATGGATATAGGTGGTGGCAACTGGGACAAAGAAATAGTTACCCGTGCACTTCGAGCTGCTTACAACAATCCAGAGCGAGCTGTGGATTACTTGTATTCAGGTATTCCAGAAGCAGCGGAAGTTGCAGTGCCAGTGGCTCATTTGCCTGTGAATCAGGCAACTTCTGAGGGGGCTGAAACACGTGCAGCAGCAGCTGCACCCATCTCTGGAGCACCTAATTCATCTCCTTTTGATTCTCTCTCTCTGCTCTCTTCGATCCCTGAAAGTGTCAATTTGGGTTTTCATTCACATTCTCTCTCTCTCATCTTTCCACTTTCAAACCCACAATCCTTTTTTTTAATCAACCCACTACCTCACTTTCTTTAAACCCCACTTTCACTCACACTCACATGGGCTTGTCCCATTCTCCTCTCATCTTTTCAACTTTTCTTTCAACTTTTTTTTTCCAAAGTATTTGATCTGCCCAAGACGTGGCACAACACTTTCTTTTTTATATTATTATTATGAACGGAAAATAAGAATTCTAATTATAAGTAACTATTTTTATGGGCTGTATGCTCTCCTTGAACTCATAAAGTGTGGTAGTTCACAACTGAGATGAATCAACTGCTGAGGATACATACTATGCTTGTACAATCAAAATCATACAAACATATGTGCACTGAAGACACATATTAACAAGGCCCTAAAACATAATATGAACTAATACCTTCTTGAGAATTATGTCAAGAAGTTCTGCCCCTGCTTTTGAATCAAATACCTTAGCTTGATGGCTACTATTCCAAGAAAAAAAGAAACTTGAATTCATCTAAACTAGCAATTTACAACATGAAAAGTCAAGCCATGAATAATAAATGTGAAAAAGAAAACCATATTTACATATCCAGGTAAAAGAGTAATCTGGAAGTAACAGGGGGAATTGTGTTGCAATTACAATAGTTGTTACCCCAGATGAGAAATAAAAACCTTTTTTTTTTTAGCTTTTAGGGTGTATTTTTAGTTCAAGATACGTCCTACTACTTGGAACCAAAGAATTAGTAGATCTATTCCGGTCAAATTGGGACTGAGCAAGGGTTTTTAACTTAAAATCTATGATCTGATCATTGAGTCAATTCCCAGATTATAATTTCCTTGCAGCAAGTGATTGAGTTCAGTAGTTTCCCATATATATTTTATCGACTCTAGAACATAGTAATATGTAGAAAAGAAATTGTTTCAAGAGCCAGCAGATATACCGAGAAGAAGGGAGGGAAAAAACTACCATAAAGCCACCTGTCTCTGTTTGCCACCAAGTGTCAGATATGGGGCATCTTGAATCTCCAACTATATTGAAAAACCACCTGTTAAGATGAAAAAGAAAACATGTGATACTTCTTGTGTTCAAAAATGTAATCAATAACATATGGAGAAGAGAATCTGTTAGTTTCCCCGGATTACAGGGCTGGCATTATAGAGAACAAGAAGGTTAAGAGAATCTTTTTATTTATTTTATTCTATTTGTGGGTTTGGCTTCCACTTAAACCAGTGAGGCATAGGAATATCTGCTACACTACTGACAATGAGAAAGAAGAAAACAAACACAAAGCAGTTATGCAGCAACATGAAAATTGTCGAGTCACAGCAACATGAAAATTGTCGAGTCACTTTTCAAAATAAATTAATCAATAACATATGGAGAAGAGAATCTGTTAGTTTCCCCGGATTACAAGACTGACATTATAGAGAACAAGAAGGTTAAGAGAATCTTTTTATTTATTTTATTCTATTTGTGGGTTTGGTATGGGAATTGGAAAATTTGATATCAGCTCTGTGAGTCCAACCATTCTAATTTCTGGGTGAGTGAAATAAGCTGCTGGAATGCTCAAATGGTTGAGCACGTGATCTTTTCCACTAACTTTGGCTTCCACTTAAACCAGTGAGGCATAGGAATATCTGATTTGATTATAATCCTCCTAGGACCTTTCCTACTTTTGTCATGTTAAAGAATCAAAGTAATACACTGATGAAGTAGAAGATTAAAGAGGCAAAGATCTTTCTTCAAGTGCATTAAAAAATTAAAGAACTCAATGACCAGAAAATCAAACTATGAATGGGTCAATGGAATTGGAATATTGAGCACTAGATGTTTCCAAAGTAACAGCATTTAACCCACCTGATTTAACGTTAAGGTCCCAGTTTTGTCACTGCAAATGGTAGTAGCAGAGCCCATGGTTTCACAGGCAGAAAGCCTCCTGACCTGAAGTTCAATATTTGTGAAACATTTAAACATGTACTTTTATGTGTGTATGTATGAATATCAATATCATATGAAGCGACTCAAAGAAAAGATAAATTGCACATACCAAGGCCTTGTCTGACATCATTTTCCTCATTGAGTAGGCAAGGCTGTAATACAGGTAGGGGAATGCACTTAAGAAATTAAAGAAGCATAATCTTTGAACTAGATAGTAAAAAAGAGACTGGAATGAGCAGGAAATATGCAGCAAAACTAATGAGCAAAACTAATGATGGCCCCAGTAAGCAATGATGCTGTCAAACTTGAAGATGCTACAAGGACTAAAGTAACTTAGAAGAAAACATGGAAAAACTAGGAATCAACGACATGTCCTCCAATAAACTTCAAAAAGAGAGTGGCAAGAAAAGATAAGCTCTACCTAACACCAATTTTGCTCAACCAACTCCAGATACTTGACAATATTTTTGATCAATTGAAATGAGTTAATAAAATTAGAATGATAACAAAATGACTGAAAGAAGGTCAAACTTACGTTAAGGTAACGGCTAAGGGAAGCCCTTCAGGCATTGCAACAACCACAATAGTGACCTAAAATTCCTTCAGGTATTAGTAAAATACTCAAAATAACTATATATGAATATATACTAATCACAAATTATGTCTGTAAAACGGCACATACTGCAACAGTGAAAATCTTAATAACTCCATCTATGGCAGTACCAAACTTAGTATGACTAGCCTTGAATTGAGGAGTTCCATCTGTGTTTTTGGTATGTCCAGTAAAGTTTCTGCAGATACTCCAATTTATAAGTTTTACCAGTCCAAACTTTGTTTTTTAGAGAGAAATAGAGAATTGAGGAGAGAACTCAACAACTAAGATTGCAATTACCTTCTCAAAAGGACAAACAGAACAACTATAGCTACTGCAAGTCCAACGAAGCCAATAAATGATATTAGCCTAATTTGATGCTAAAGCTCAACATGATATCTAGTCAAGCTACACGCAAGTAAATCCGGACACTTGGTTGTATAAAAAAATAAAAAGGCATTACTAATAATATTTCAAATAGTTAGAATGCATACCTTCTTCATGGTTGGAGTCGGGTCTAAAACCGGGGTTAGGATGGCTTGTGATCTGGACCAGCTTCCAAGCTGTCGCTTTCCTTTCTCGGGCTTGAGGTTGGTGAATCCATTTGCACTGAATTGCAATACTTCCTGACAGCGAGCGAGCTGAACTCGACTGCACGACCGGTTCAAATGAACCGACGCTTTACGGTAATTATTCCCTCTAAGAAAATCAATCTGAGTGTGATCTACATACTTGTGCTTCAACAGTACCACTCTTTTAGCAGCTACATGACTTGTCAACCTCATCACCATGTCCTTCACAGTTGCAGACATTTTCCCCTTATTTCTTATTCAATCTTCCCTACTTACACACACACACACACATATATATATATACACACACACACAATAACCCATCAATTATAAACTCGTGTCAAGCCCCCAAGTTCACAAATTTTTGTGCTACACATCAATTATATAAACTCTGAATACTTACAATTACTTACAAATTATAAGTATTGATTGTGTTTTTAAAGGTTAACTCATTCTAAAATTCACCTTCTTAATTGTTGGACTACCTGTCCTGGTTCATCGTGAAACAATCTTACTTATTCATCATCATGGATTCATGGTATTGGTTGAACATTGATTATTTGAATTAAGGCTTTTTTTGAATTGGTATACATATTTATCAATTCATAAATCAATAATTTTTACTAAAAACATTCAGTCCTGTTTGGTTGGTGATAAAGTGGGAGAAATAGTAAACAAAGTGAAATTTGGGCAACTATCATAAATATTTATTTGCTTCAAAATTTTTTTGTTGTTTTTTTTAGTTTCCTTTGGCTAATCATTAGTTATGGAATTCTATCATTTTTTATTATTATTAGATTAAATGGAATTAGTTTTTAGGCCTATGTTCTTTTGTCTAATCTTTTTAGGCCTATGTTCTTTTATCTAATCTTTTGTGATTATATAGATTTGCTACCAAGTGATTTGGTTGTTAAATTTTTTAAGGTTGTTAAATTTTTTTTTCCAAATTCTCAATATTTGGAAAAAGAATTTTTTATGATTGTTAATTAGTATTGCTAATTTTTTATTTTTTAGTATCTAAAATTATATAACCAAACAATTTTAGGTTAAAACACAAGGACAATGTCACTATTATATGTAGATAAGCACAATCATAAAAGTGAATCTTAAAAAGTGGTGTAAGTCAACTCATTAAACTGCTCTATTGCCAGTAAATTAGGTTGTTTCATCATATATAGTTAAATTTGTAAATGGTGTTGGGTTAGGTTCTATTAAAGTGTTGATCTTGATTTCATATTTGTTTTATTTCTATACGACAGTTTGATTTTAATTAGGCCTCGTTTGGGAACAAGTTAATTTAGTAATTTTTTAACTATTTGGCTAAAATATGAACTAAAAAAAACTAATATGTTTGAGATGATTTTTGGACTTTTTACGAAAAGATGTGCAAAAAATAGAAAGAAAAGAGAATTTTTGACTTTTTGGTATGAGTTGTTGGCTTTTTGTTTTTTTAGTGACTTTTTAACTTTTTGACTAAATGGGTCGCTTCCCAAACGAGGCCTTAGTCTACATTATGCTACAATTTGATTGCATATTGGTTTTTTTAAAATTAGTCTACATTATCATCACCACTTTGTTTAATTTTAATTTTTAAATTAGTCCATATCTATTTCGGCTTTATTTTTGTCAAATTTAAAAATAAATAAAGCCTAAAAATGAAATTGAACAGCATGAGCGTATGGAACTATTTCACATGGATGGGCCATGTCATTAGAGATGAAATTGAAGAGGCAAAATCTATATAATATTTATTTTTTGTTTATTTCAATTTTGTGTTAAAGCTTTTTTCAATTGGTATACATCTTTATCAGTCCATAAATCAGTAATTTTTACCAAAAATATTATGTCTTATTTGGTTGGTGATAAAGTGGTGAAAATAGTAAACAAAGTGAAATTTGGGCGACTGTCATAAATATTTATCAGTCTCAATTTTTTTTTTGGGGGAGGGGTCCTTAGGCTAATCATTGATTACTATTTAATTTTGGGTTTCCTTTGACTAATCATTAGTTTATAGAATTATATCATTTTTTTTATTGTTATTGGATTAAATGGAATTAGTTTTTAGACCTATGTTCTTTTGTCTAATCTTTTTAGGCATATGTTCTTTTATCTAATCTTTTGTGGTTGTATAGATTTGCTACCAAGTGATTTGGTTGTTAAATTTTTTAAGGTTGTTAAATTTTTTTTTCCAAATTCTCAATATTTGGAAAAAGAATTTTTTATGATTGTTAATTAGTATTGCTAATTTTTTATTTTTTAGTATCTAAAATTATATAACCAAACAATTTTAGGTTAAAACACAAGGACAATGTCACTATTATATGTAGATAAGCACAATCATAAAAGTGAATCTTAAAAAGTGGTGTAAGTCAACTCATTAAACTGCTCTATTGCCAGTAAATTAGGTTGTTTCAGAGCCACCTCTTGAATCCACCTCTATTCTGTGCGGACCAAAGTGCTGTGCGGAGCTAAGTGCTACACTATTGTGGGAGCCACCTCTAGAATCCGTACGAGCCACCTCTTAAATCCGTACCTCTGTTCTGACTGTCACTTCTGTGACTTCTGTTCTGTTCTATTCTGTACCGTGGTTATGGTTATATATTTACATAATTTATGTATTTTAGTTCTGCTACTTAAATGAGCAATTTCTGCTACTCAAATGATTTGTTTATGTAAATGTTTTGGTCTAACTAACTATCCAAGGTTATTTCGTGTCCCTTATACTCTTGGTATAATATTTCTCACTCTGCCATGTGCTTATAGTTGTTTACCAATTTTCAGGAAACAATGCAATTCAGAAATAGCTTATGGAAAGTCTTAGATGCGGGACTGCGGAATAGACACACATAACACTTTTATTGACATTTTTATATGTAAATATCGGCCTTTTTGGTCAATAAATTTTGTAATAAAAATAGAAGCTCCAATGATTATTTTCGTACCCTTATTTAAATATTACTTTTGCTTGCGTTTATTGCTTTGTTTAAGAGTTGGCCGTAGGTAACCTCAGTTACTGGCCATCACGATGCTTAACCCTTGGGTACGGGGAGCGGGTCGTGACAGTCATACTTTAAATTTCAATGCTTTGCAACGAGAACATGAGGGATTAGAAGAATGTATTCAACCAAGAAAACCTTATTTACTAATTCGTCGTAATCGCGTTTGCCTGGAATGAGAAACAATAACTGAAGATTCTCATTCAGCACAAAAACGAACAATGGTTACCCATTATTCTATGCCAAGTACATCTTTAGCTCTACAAAGAAATCGGTAAACTACTATGTTTAATCTTCAAATACATACTCTTACTCATACTGTTTTGTTTTCTAAAATTTTATTTATACACAAATATTCGTAGGTCTACTCCTATAAATTGATTTCTTCAAGAAGATCTACGTACTGATGATGAATTAGAAAATATGTCTATGAGTACATCAATTGACGCCAGGGCACACAAAGATTCTTGCCGTCATTATCTTGGCAAGATGGATGTATTATGTCCTCATTGTTCAACCTTAAATTGGATAGATGAAAATTTGACAAAATCATCTATAAAGCGTCCCTTATTTGGAACTTGTTGTTTGGAAGGAAAGATTAGGCTACCTTTACTTATTACACCCCTTCCATCACTTCAGGCATTGTGTAATTGGAATAATGATCAATCAAAATCCTTTCAAAGTTATACTTGAGTGTACAATGCAGCCAATGCTTTTACAAGTCTTGGTACTACATTGGATCCTAGAGTACTCAGTGGAAGAGGCCCTACATCATTCACAATTCATAAGGAATTGCGATATCAAATAGAATCACTACAACCACAACCAGGACAGGATGTAAGTTATGCTTAATTATATAGCTATGACCTTGATTCAGCTTTAGAAATTCGTAATCGTAGAAATCCTAATTTGAGAAGGGATGTTCTCAAAACTATTCAGGATAGTTTGTTGCAAGTTAATGCATTTGTAGATAAATTTCGCCAGGCTCATGCCATTTTACATCAATTAGACTTTGTAGGACATAATCTACCTACTCATCTTTATTACAATTCAACAACTAATTGATATCGGCATAACCTACCAACTGTAGATGAGATTATGATTGTAATACCAAGTGATGGAACAGAGCTAAGTGGAATCAGAGATATTATCTTACATTTTTGAAGGAATAATGAGTTGATGCAAATTAATGAATGTCACTCAGCATATTTGCCATTACATTATGTTCTCTTATTTCCATATGGTGAGCTTGGATGGGAACCTGAGTTGAAATTGTGAAACGTTCAGTATGATCAATCTTCAACTGATCGACTTACTCAAATGAATTTTTATAGTTACCGTTTGTTTGAATAACCCACAGAGTATTCAACAATTTTAAGAGGTGGGAAATTATTTCAAGAGTTTTTGGTAGATGCTTAGGCCGCAACTGAACAAAACTGATTGACATACTGCAAGCTTAATTAAGGGAAATATCAGGTTGAGCTTTACCAAGAATTGCCAAATATTGATCCAGATTATGTGTAACCTGTCAAATTGGTCAAAGGTTTGTTTTGTCATCTTCATTTCCTGGTAGTCCTAGACATATGTTTGAAATCTTTCAAGATTCAATGGCAATCAAAACCCAAATATTTTTCTTACTATGACTGCAAATCCCAATTGGCCAGAAATTACTTCAACGTTATTACTACATTAAAAACCTATTAATCGTTCTAATTTAATTGCCCGTGTTTTTGAGTTGAAGAGAAAGTGTTTAATGAAGGAAATAGAAACAAATAAAGTATTTAGAAATAAAGTTGCACATGTTTTTACAATTGAATTTAAAAAATGAGGCCTCTCTTATATGTATGCACTTTTATTTCTTAAGGGTTCAATCAAAATTCGGACATGTGCTTAAGTTGACAAATTGGTCCGTGCAGAATTTTCAGACCCAAAAGATAATCCTATGCTTTTTGAAATTGTCAAATGTTGTATGGTACATGGACCATGTGGTGCTCGAAATCCGCAAGCACTATGTATGAAAAATGGTAGATGCACTAAGAAATATCCTCGAGCTTTCACAGAAACAACTATAGATCAAAATGGATACCCTATCTATCGTCGTCGCAATAATGGTCAAGTACATATTGTGAGGAGGCAAGAAGTTGATAACAGGGATGTCGTACCATACAATACATATCTTTCTAAACTTTTCCACTGTCATATAAATGTAGAAGTTTGTGCTGGAATGAGATGTGTCAAGTATATACATAAGTACATTTACAAGTGTAACAATCCCGATCTGTAATTAATTACTAATCCGTAATTAAGGATGTTAATTAAGTGATTAAAATAAATTATGTGTTTATTGTGTGTTTTGCATGCTATTTGACTTTCTATTTGTTAATCGTAGTAATAGTTGTTGTGAAATCTGCTTTAATATGGAAATTGAAAGCCTTATCGGCATCTGAAATTGAAATTGGTTACATTAATATGTTATTCAGAATTTTTAGAATCTGTAACGCCCTCAAAATTAACCCATTATATATATAATTGACATGCATTATTTAAAGAAGACAATTTATTAATTCATTCATCAGAGTATTACTAAATAAAGCATTACATGTAACATCAAATAAAATGCCCTACAGGCTTACATCTTTCCAAGCCAACACTTGGATTCAAAAATATGAGTTCTAATCTCAATACAGGAAAAGCCCTAGGCTTGAATGTTTACATGTACTAATAAATAAAAACTATTAACTAAAGGTAGTCTTCTTCAATCCAGAAGCCATGGTTAACCAAAATAATCGATTACTTCATTTTACAGTCTCAGGACACTATTGCCAAAGATACGTTTTACTTTCCAATTTTTCAACATGGCTCAGAACCTGGCCAAACTTACAACAGTGAATTTCATATATCATATTCACATCCTTCCAATATCAACAAACAAATGAGACTCAAGCTCAAATCAAAACACTTCATACTTCCAGTTTGATACACATTTTAGTGCTGTATCAATAACATGTAAAAACACTTCAATATAATAAGCACACATAATAGTGATGCTAATGGAGTCCATCCCCTATCTCCTCCCAAACAAAAATCTGGTTTAGAGGTCCATCCCCTATCTTCCCCTAAACCGTGGAGTACATCCCCTATCTCCTCCCACACAAAACAAAGTATGTAAACACATAACATACACACCACACAATCAATACACATTATGTCTGTATTAATTCAACAATCAAAATTAATGATTCAATAAATGTGATTAGTTTCAGTTATACCTAATTCACATGCAATGTCTACAACAACCATGACTATCCTCCACCGATAGCCCAAAACAGTTATTTCTAAACTGAAAATAACCATGCCAACAATTCAATAAACAAATGATTCAAATGATCCAACTACGCCATTTAATCAATGATTTCCCCAATTCCATGAATTAATTATACAATCCAATTTAATAATAAAACTAGGGTTTTTCCCAAATTTACCAAAGTATCCCCAACATGTTAAAATACCAAAACTTGGGTTTTTCCCAAAATTTACCAAAGTATCCCCAACATATCAAATTACTAAAGCTCAGAACAAAACCTATAAAATGGAGTAGGAAATCCCTACCTTGAAGAAAATAAACCGAATGGAGAAGATAGAGATGAATGCCCAAATTCCAATGTGCTCCAAATCACCAAATGTTCATATTAGAATGAAGCCCAAGCCGCCCTCTATCTTTCTTACAACGAACTTATGATGGATTCACACTAGAAGTAGATGAACACCTAAAGAGAAGATGAGTTTTGAGGGAGAGAAGTCGGACCTAGGGTTTAGAACCAAAAAGAATAAGAAAAGACTGATCAAAACCCGCTGCTGGGTATATAAACTGGACAGGCTCGCTCGAGCGAAGACTTGGTCGCTCGAGCGACCAGACACAGAGAAACTACGCTCGAGCCAAGGAAGCCTTGCTCGAGCCAACAACTCAAAAGCTCGCTCGAGCGAAAGAAAGCTCGATCGAGCGAAGAACTCAAACCCTCAGGTCTGAACCCAAACACACGCTCGAGCGAAGGAACTATTGCTCGAGCGAAGAACAAACTAACTCGCTCGAGCGAAGAAAAGCTCGCTCGAGCCAAGAATACTCAGCTACAGGTCCAAATCAAACACTACCTCTCGCTCGAGCGAAGAACCAAAAACCTGGACAGCAACACCTTGGTTTCTAACCCAACCAACCTGAAGCAAACCTGCCCAACACATCCTATTATTTTATTCCAAATGAGAAATAAAGGACAACAACAACAATTATACAATGACAGAATCTACGGAACCTAAGTCCGGATACAATAATCAAATGGGAAAAGACCGGGGTGGCTATAGAATCATTACCTTAATGCTATTAACTCGATTTTAGCTCATTGTGTGTATATATATATATGTATAAGTGAGCGCTTTGGAGATCAGACTTGAAGACTTTTTTCTGGATCTGTGTTCTGTTGTAAGCCAACCATTGCGCCTCCCGTGGAGGTTCCGAAAACGTCACGTGTTCAAGGCCTTGTGATTGACTTAGCTCTTGTTTTCTTTGTTAACGTTTAAGACAAGTTTTTGTATTTAGGGTTTAATCCCTTCTTGTTTTGACTATAATGTGTGTAGGTATAATGTAAGAATGACTTTTGGACATAATATATAAATTTAAAAGCCTCTGTTTCATATAAGTCAGCACAACTCATTGGACAAATTTATTTTTGATATTTGTTTCCGTTGGCCCCTTATTCTGTAATTCTACTTTAGAGGCCTTTAGTAATCCCACGATTACTGGCCGGTTATGACACTAAACCTATAGGAGCGGGTTTAGATCGTGACAACAAGGGTTATGATCGTACAACGATGGTGTTGGAATTGATAAATGAGATTCAATAATATCTCGATGCGAGGTATATTGCACTTCCAGAAACTGCTTGGCGAATATTTGGTCATCCTTTGCATGCAAAAATGCCAACATTTGTACGATTGACACTTCATTTACCTAGAATGCATCACGTTGTTTTTAAGCCAGAAGAGTCATTGGAAATGATTCAATCTAGAGTTGGTCAACAAATGTCAACTATTATTGGCTTCTTTGCATATTGTGCTGCCAGTGAAAATGAATATCCATTCACTTATCAAGAATTTCCACAACATTTTGTTTGGCTTAAGTCAGAAAAGGGATAGAAATCAAAAGAAAAGGGATATGCAATTGGTTGAATGTACTTTGCTAGCCCCAATTGTGGTAAAAGATTTTATCTGCATTTGTTACTAACTGTTGTCAAGGGACCAAGGTCATTTCAATCTTTATGCACAGTCGATAATGTTGTGCATGATACATTTAAATTAGCATGTGTTACAAGAGGGATTTTAGAAGATGATGAATAGTGGATATAATGCTTGAAAGAGACTGCAGTTATGAAAACTGGATACTAATTGAGGACATTGTTTAGTATTATTCTCACCCAGTGCTCTCCATTAAATCCATGTGCGTTATGGAATCAATTTTCAACACATATATGTGATGATCTTGTATATAAGATTTATACATTGTTTTCCATTTCTAGCCTAACTGAGGCTCAAGTTGAAGATTATAGTCTCCATCTTTTGAATCAAATGCTTCATGAATCAAGCAAAAGTTTAATTAACTTCCCACCCATGTCAAAACCTACTGTAAATTGGAGTACAGTAGTTGGTAATTAACTGATATTCAAACATCAACAACTGCAGAGTGATGCACAACAGACAGATCCATAAATTACTATTGATTGTCTTAACAATGGACAGCAGAATACTTATAATACAATCACTTCTTCAATTTTTCAAAATAAAGGAACTATTTTCTTTCTGAATAGGGGTGCTGGAATAGGAAAACATTTTTGTATAATACAATTGCATTAAAATGTTGAAGCCTTGGGCATATCGTTGTTACTATGGCTCCATCTAGAATTGTATCATTGTTATTGGTAGGAGGTCGCACTGCACATTCAACATTTTCCATTCCATTGGATGTCTTGGAAAATTCACTTTGCAGGTTTAACAAACAATCATTATAAACTGAAGACACATATTAACAAGGCCCTAAAACATAATATGAACTAATACCTTCTTGAGAATTATGTCAAGAAGTTCTGCCCCTGATTTTGAATCAAATTCATTTTACTCATGAACCTTACCATTCATCAATTTAATCTCTACTACACAAACACATTTGGGGTAAAGTATAAGTTGACAAGATTGGGTTCATAACATTTTTGTCTATATTTTGTTCACAACTTTGTTTTCCCTCTCTTAATGGACATCTTAAATGAGTTTGATTTTTGGTTCGAGCTCAAACTCGGCTCCTTTATGTAATTGAGTTGATTCAAGCTAAGCTCAAATTGCTCAAATACTTGATGAGTAGAGTTTGATCTCGATTCTTCAAGCTCAACAATTTTCAGCAAACCAAACCCAAACACCTTAAAGCTCGGTTTTGTTTGAGCTCGATTTGACTCAGCTCATTTATAGCGGGTTGATAATTTAGTAAATGAAACCATAGAAAAGAAAAGAAATTCACCTCAAGGTGATCAGCAGTATTAACGAGGAAGGAATTGGGAAGTGCCTTGACATTAACCCATTTACCATTGTGATGCAGTTGCAGGCCTCCAATTTCATTCTGGATAAGCATGGTTAGCAGGCCATGATCGGAGTGCGGCAGCAAACCCATTGCGAGTTCTGGCTGTGGACAGGGAGGATAGAGGTTTCCGACGAAGATTTGCAGACCGGATTCTAGATCCATTGCCTTCTCAATATAGCATTCTTCCAATCCCAGGCTTTCTGATATGCCTCTGAGTAACTCCATTGCCACTTTTCGGGTTTGTTTGCTATACTCTCTTAAGAGCTCACTGCAAAAACAATATGAAATTTCATTGTAAAGATCAGTTCCGTATACAAGCTGTCAGTAACAAAGGTTGTAATTGGATTAATTACAGTGCATCGTATGTCGATAAGATGATAATACTTGGCCCATCTGGAAGATTCAATGGGATTCTAAGATAAAATGGATGTGCTATTTGAGAAACGTTAGTGACACTGATTAAGAAAATTAGTGGCTGTGAGTGATTCGTCCACTTCCTCTCTTTTGTCTCTTTATATTTGTCATTTTGAGAAGTACATGGATTCTCAATGATTTCATCCAAGTTTTGAAAGTCACATGTATGCAGAGAAATAACAGAGAACAGAATTTATAATCAGGGTGTTAAAATGAAACAAGCTACTCGAACTTGATTCGATTACATACACTACAAAATATAAGTTCTTTGAACTCGGCTCATGATTAGATACGCTTTTTAACAACCTACTACTCACCTAATCAACAATCCTTCTCTCACGATCACACTTTTGCAACTCATGACAAACTTAACTCTGGTACCACTTGTCGGACCGAGTTACACCATTCTCTTAAAATCATAATGAGCAGCAAGATTTGTACCTGAAACCTGTAGGTTTGTTGGGAGAGTGAAACTGAGGATGCACAAACACCTTGAGAAAATCCCTCCAGGAGAACACTTTGTCTGCTTTAGAATTGAAGCTGGTGCCGCACCTGATCGGATCCAACACATGTTTCCCTTCAAACTCCCTCTTCTCCTCCTCCCTCAGATCAAAAAACCCGTTACACGCATCAACCATCTCCTTCATCAAGCTCTCCGGCACACCATGGTTAACCACCTGATCAACCAAACACACAAACATGGCATGGAAAATATAAAATGACTATTGAAATCAAACTTGTGTACCTGACTTGACCATATATTGGTTACCATGAAGAAGCCCCACTCCTGGCAAGCTTTGCCGAGGTCTTGGATGACTTGGGACCGTTGATCAGGATCACTGGAGGTGAGGGAGGAAAAATCAATGATGGGAATTGAATCTTCTGGTTCTGATGCCGCAGATTCACGAGGATTTGTGGTGTAGGTGTAGTTTGGAGGGATGCAAGTGAGGCCAGGTGATTCTGCCAGTGTTTTGATGCTTGTTGACTTTGGTGCGTGAAGGTGAGTTTCAGGGGAGGAGTGGACACAGAGTGGAGTTGCAGCGGCCATTTTTTTTTTTTGTTTTGTTTATTTTTTTTGGAGAGAGAGATAGAGATGAAAGTCATAGAACCTTATCCACGGCCTTAGTGTGTTTTCTAGAGCCATCCATGACCGTCTATGAAGTACGGATATTTTGAAAAATATGCCGTGTCTGTATTGGGTATTTATTGACGTATCATATTTTGTATAATAATTTTATATACGTATTGAATATACGAAATATGTATTTAAATTTTTTTTTTTTAATTTTTAATATACCTAAACGTACCTACTATATACTCAAGCCGTATTATATTCTCAATTAAAACAATATTTTCTTCTATTATAGAGATAAAACTTCTTTCATTATATTTCTTTTTTTATTTTTAGTTTTATACCTAGTATGATTTTAAAATTAAATTATAGTTTGTAAATTATTTAATAAATTGACATTAAATTTTGATTTATACCTTTACTTTTGACATTAACACAATGTTTGATTCACAACACTAATAGTGAGGTATTAATAATCCTATTAAATTAGTGTGGTATTAGTTTTCCCACCCCTACCCCATTATTAATAATCCTACAAATTTGTTGGATTAATTATTCATTGGATTAATAATCCTAAACCAAAATGTCAAAACAAACATAGGATGATTGGGCCCACGGATTAATAATCCCAATCCTATGCTTTAATCCTTCCAATCAAACATGCCCTAAGAGTATTGTTAGTTTGTTGAACAAATAGAGAAGAGTTAGAAGAACTGGTGATTAACAAGGCCCTAAAACATAATATGAACTAATACCTTCTTGAGAATTATGTCAAGAAGTTCTGCCCCTGCTTTTGAATCAAATACCTTAGCTTGATGGCTACTATTCCAAGAAAAAAAGAAACTTGAATTCATCTAAACTAGCAATTTACAACATGAAAAGTCAAGCCATGAATAATAAATGTGAAAAAGAAAACCATATTACATATCCAGGTAAAGGAGTAATCTGGAAGCAACAGGGGGAATTGTGTTGCAATTACAATAGTTGTTACCCCAGATGAGAAATAAAAACCTTTTTTTTTAGCTTTTAGGGTGTATTTTTAGTTCAAGATACGTCCTACTACTTGGAACCAAAGAATTAGTAGATCTATTCCGGTCAAATTGGGACTGAGCAAGGGTTTTGAACTTAAAATCTATGATCTGATCATTGAGTCAATTCCCAGATTATAATTTCCTTGCAGCAAGTGATTGAGTTCAGTAGTTTCCCATATATATTTTATCGACTCTAGAACATAGTAATATGTAGAAAAGAAATTGTTTCAAGAGCCAGCAGATATACCGAGAAGAAGGGAGGGAAAAACCTACCATAAAGCCACCTGTCTCTGTTTGCCACCAAGTGTCAGATATGGGGCATCTTGAATCTCCAACTATATTGAAAAACCACCTGTTAAGATGAAAAAGAAAACGTGTCATACTTCTTGTGTTCAAAAATGTAATCCAGCAACAAAAGTAGAGCTTGTAACCTCCATGCACTAGGATTTATAGGCTCGCCTACACTACTGACAATGAGAAAGAAGAAAACAAACACAAAGCAGTTATGCAGCAACATGAAAATTGTCGAGTCACTTTTCAAAATAAATTAATCAATAACATATGGAGAAGAGAATCTGTTAGTTTCCCCGGATTACAAGGCTGGCATTATAGAGAACAAGAAGGTTAAGAGAATCTTTTTATTTATTTTATTCTATTTGTGGGTTTGGTATGGGAATTGGAAAATTTGATATCAGCTCTGTGAGTCCAACCATACTACTTTCTGGGTGACTTGTTCAACAACTATATGAAAAAATCAAATAATATACAAGTAAATACATAAAACAAAACAAAACAAAATGTTTAAATATTCACTTAACTTTGGCTTCCACTTAAACCAGTGAGGCATAGGAATATCTGATTTGATTATAATCCTCCTAGGACCTTTCCTACTTTTGTCATGTTAAAGAATCAAAGTAATACACTGATGAAGTAGAAGATTAAAGAGGCAAAGATCTTTCTTCAAGTGCATTAAAAAATTAAAGAACTCAATGACCAGAAAATCAAACTATGAATGGGTCAATGGAATTGGAATATTGAGCACTAGATGTTTCCAAAGTAACAGCATTTAACCCACCTGATTTAACGTTAAGGTCCCAGTTTTGTCACTGCAAATGGTAGTAGCAGAGCCCATGGTTTCACAGGCAGAAAGCCTCCTGACCTGAAGTTCAATATTTGTGAAACATTTAAACATGTACTTTTATGTGTGTATGTATGAATATCAATATCATATGAAGCGACTCAAAGAAAAGATAAATCGCACATACCAAGGGCTTGTCTGACATCATTTTCCTCATTGAGTAGGCAAGGCTGTAATACAGGTAGGGGAATGCACTTAAGAAATTAAAGAAGCATAATCTTTGAACTAGATAGTAAAAAAGAGACTGGAATGAGCAGGAAATATGCAGCAAAACTAATGATGGCCCCAGTAAGCAATGATGCTGTCAAACTTGAAGATGCTACAAGGACTAAAGTAACTTAGAAGAAAACATGGAAAAACTAGGAATCAACGACATGTCCTCCAATAAACTTCAAAAAGAGAGTGGCAAGAAAAGATAAGCTCTACCTAACACCAATTTTGCTCAACCAACTCCAGATACTTGACAATATTTTTGATCAATTGAAATGAGTTAATAAACTTAGAATGACAACAAAATGACTGGAAGAAGGTCAAACTTACGTTAAGGTAGCGGCTAAGGGAAGCCCTTCAGGCACTACAACAACCACAATAGTGACCTAAAATTCCTTCAGGTATTAGTAAAATACTCAAAATAACTATATATGAATATATACTAATTACAAATTATGTCTTTAACAAGCAGCAGACCACCCAAAAGTCCCACACTATGATTTAAATGCCCAGCATCTGGTGCATTTAATTAGAGCAAATACATAGCCAGGTAAATCCATTAACATTATGAATATAATTATTGATCACTCTCAATCCATTACATAATTTCTCATCTATGCATGTAATGTATGTTTACATGCCATCTCTTTTTCAAATGCATGTGTGTTGATATGTGTGTTTCTACGTGCAAAATTGTGGCAAGGATACATTCTTGGTCAGGGTTCAGTGAAATTTGAGTGCAGGGCATTCCCAACGCTGTCCACTATTGCTGACGCAGTCATTGATGATTCGATGCATAAAATGGCAGTGATGGCATCTGATCTTGTGACCTCATTTCTGAACATTAATCTTGCATGTGCTGCAACAGCAAGTCATATAATCATTCGGGGAGTGAAAGCAGGAAGTGAATCCTGGATGGATACTAAAAATGGAAGAAAATGTACCTTGAGCTAGTCGTATTAAACTTTCCAGCATACGCACAGTTGTCCTTGCTGCAGTACAAGGCACGACTTCAGCAACCAAAATGATAATGTTTAGGAATCATAAAAAAGATTGTTGTCTCACTAAAACCTGCATTTTGCGTCGCAGATCTTCTTTGTAATTGATAATAGCTCGAAATGACCTTTTCAGCCTCCTTGGTGAGGATTGGTTTGAAATTTCGTTTAACAAAGTGGATATACCTGCAAAAGTAAGTTGAGAGTTGCATAGCAGTTATGAAATTAAAGAAGAGAGTTGTATGAACAAAGCCACTCAATATGAAATAAAGAATCATGTAGACATAATCATCCTTCGCATTGAGGTTTATTCATTACTTGCATGTTAGATATTTTATTTTCACCAACTTAAATGACAATCACACAAACAAGATGTTTCAATATGTGTAAAGGATTCAATTAGAAAAAAACACACACACACTAACTAGGTCGAAAAGAATAACACAAAGTGGGTCTATTAAATTATGTGACTAATCAAAAGTGGAAGCCAAAAACAAGCATACTTATATTTAATTGATTTTGACAAAGGACCTTATTCTCTGATTCTATATTGGTGAGTTTCTCTTCTAACCTGATTTGAATTCCAATAATTAACTAACTACATCCGATTTCATGAAAACAGAAGCATGAATATTTTCATAGATGTAACTATATGACAAATACACTTCCAAGAATATCAGAGGAAAATAGCTATATGACAAATACACTTCCAAGAATATCAGAGGAAAATAGCTATATGACAAATACACTTCCAAGAATATCAGAGGAAAATAGCTATATGACAAATACACTTCCAAGAATATCAGAGGAAAATAGCTATATGACAAATACACTTCCAAGAATATCAGAGGAAAATAGCTATATGACAAATACACTTCCAAGAATATCAGAGGAAAATAGCTATATGACAAATACACTTCCAAGAATATCAGAGGAAAATAGCTATATGACAAATACACTTCCAAGAATATCAGAGGAAAATAGCTATATGACAAATACACTTCCAAGAATATCAGAGGAAAATAGCTATATGACAAATACACTTCCAAGAATATCAGAGGAAAATAGCTATATGACAAATACACTTCCAAGAATATCAGAGGAAAATAGCTATATGACAAATACACTTCCAAGAATATCAGAGGAAAATAGCTATATGACAAATACACTTCCAAGAATATCAGAGGAAAATAGCTATATGACAAATACACTTCCAAGAATATCAGAGGAAAATAGCTATATGACAAATACACTTCCAAGAATATCAGAGGAAAATAGCTATATGACAAATACACTTCCAAGAATATCAGAGGAAAATAGCTATATGACAAATACACTTCCAAGAATATCAGAGGAAAATAGCTATATGACAAATACACTTCCAAGAATATCAGAGGAAAATAGCTATATGACAAATACACTTCCAAGAATATCAGAGGAAAATAGCTATATGACAAATACACTTCCAAGAATATCAGAGGAAAATAGCTATATGACAAATACACTTCCAAGAATATCAGAGGAAAATAGCTATATGACAAATACACTTCCAAGAATATCAGAGGAAAATAGCTACGATAAACAGTGAAGTCAACCTTAAAGGGTTAATTATATGAATGTTCTTGCAACTAAAAGTTGCATGTATATAAAACTCAAACATATGTATCTATGCATGTGGAAGCACATGACATAAAAGTGGCCTGGATAAGCATATCAAGCCTCCTACTATCCAAACACCCTGCTAACATAAGTGATCAAAGACTTTTTTGGTTCACCAAATCTCTCTTCCCACTGCCCTTCCCACAGAAAATCTCTCTTTAGTTCTCATAAACTAGCTAAGCTAAACTACTTAACTAATTATTACAAAACTTGAATAAATAAGCTAGCCATCTAAGCTAATTAATTATTACAACAATGACGAACTAATTTAATTAACTACTTTAAACTAATTAAATAAGTACAATACGAAGCTAATTAGCTAACTACATTAACTAATTAATTACAAAGCAACTAATTAAACTAGTTAACTAATTAATTACAACATGAATTAACTTAAATAACTAATCTAATTAAATAATTACAACACTTTAATTAGATACAACACATTTCTGACTAACTAATTAACTAGTCCCAGGAACGAGGGAGACCCAATGCATGCTCGGTTTCCACCCGAAGAATGTCCACTGTTTGCTCCCAAATGCCTCTGTTGCACAACCTTTGCACTAGTTTTCCTCTTCCAGATCAAGTCTGCTCTGCTTCATAAGCATTCTGCTCAAAATTCACTCGTGGCCGGCCGGCCACCAATAAGGGGTTGTCGTCCAACACTGATGGCCTGCAAGCCAGGAACAGTGGCCGGCCGACCACTGATGATGCACTATTTCTTGCTATAACAGAGAGCAAACAAAGCAAAGAGATGGTATTCTCACAGGTTGTTTATACTGTGTATCCCTCCTTATCATCAAAACAAGCTCAAATGAGTGATACACTTGGTTCAAAAACCATCAATCAAGAAATTTCATTGCATGATGGCTAAAGAACTAAGGTGTACAAGTTAATAAATGTGCAAACAAGACCCACAACCTTCACCCTATCATGCATGATCAAGGGCAATGGAGTCGTAGGAACGTTGGCACATTTCATCACTTTGAGTATGAAATGCCCCAATTTTCCTTGTGTTCAATTAACATCCGATTGAACACACCAAGACACGACCAAATTCTTATCTTTGCACAATTTTAGTTTCCACTTTTAGTTACTCATTTTAATTACCCTTTCATTCTTTAACCAATTAAGTCGATTGATGAGAAGTC